TCTACCTGAGATTCCTCTGTCAGAGCTGGGGTCACACGTACTGTTCAGGGTACTTAAAATAATGATATGCAAATATCAAATAAAGTTATGCATAGGGACATTCTTGGTCCATATAGACATTTATGGAAGCTATTTTCTCCATATAACCTTAGGGATGGACATAGATACTAGACTAAAACTAAAGAAGAAACAGTTAAATTAATACTGCACTTTACTTTCACTTCCAAATTGGTTCTCTTGGTCATGGTATTAGGAAAAAGTATGGTTCTTTTGCATGTACATAGTTCTCGACCTCTGGTTGAGCTATATCTTTCTAGTTTTCTAGCCAGAAAGGAAAGGAGGAAGAAAGAAGAGAAGGTAGAAAGAAAGAAGGAAGGAGGGAAGGAAATAATACCTCTTTATTTCCTAGAAGTAGTTACTAGTACAGTTGGAGACATAGGAAAAGAACAAAATAAATAAAATAAAAATATAGCTGGCTCAAGCATGTACAGCCTATTGTCAGCCTCTGATATGGAAATACTTGAGCTCTATCACTGCACAGTTTGTACTCTGTCCCCATAACCAGTCTGTTTCTCCTTCTCTTCTGGATAAACACATAGAAACAAAATTATCATCCAGCAAAGGTTGTGGCAATATGTGTGCAAAGTTGATCGTGGAAAATCAATAAGAAAGACATAAAATAAAAATAAAAATAAAAAAATAAATCCCAAACAGGTCTTTTTATTTAACATAAGGCCAAAGAAGCTATCAGGCGTTGCTGAATACTGTCCACTAACTGTACAAAATATTGACTGCATGCCTCGCAAACACCAAAATATCCGCTGGAATGCCATAGAAATAAATAACTTCTGCTATAAACACATGAAAACATATCAAACTGTTATCTCTTTAAACATATTGTAAATAAAAAAATTACCAGTACTTCTACACAATAAATATTAAGAAACCATTGACATAGTTGAAATGCACTCATATAAATTAACAACTTTAATTACATTAGCCAAACAGACATTGGTTAAAGAACTGCATGTAGTATGCAAAAAAAAAGGACCCACAAAATAAAAATAAAAACAAACAAACAAACAACATCAACCACAGAACATAAAGTTTTAAAACAAAACAGGCTTCAGATTATCTTGGCTTTCATAATTATATTTTTCTTTTAAAGAAAAATATCAACCCATTGTCAATGCACTGTTTTTCAAAGCATTTAAATAGAGGGTAAAACCCATTGAAAATTAATACAGAAGAAATGATTCACTTTATGCATAAAAATAAATAATAATATAGCTGAGACATGTGGTTTGCTTCTGCTCTTGAAGATGTGAACAGCTTCTTAGCATTCATTTTCTCTGACCCATACAATAGCTTCTCCGTAATACAGGGTTTAATTTAAACACATACAATGTCCACCCCCAAACCTTCTGCCCACATCTACAAGTTTCATTTATTATGTAGGTTTTCAGGGTGACTAAGTTTTTCTCTACATTGAAAAGGGAAGTTGCCAAAAGGCCCACAGGAACTCATATTTTCAAGGGAACATGATAATTTGAATCTATGTTTAATACAACTGAGACATATTTGCTCTGTTTTTTTTTAGAGTCACCTCCTAAAGTTCAATCCTACAAGAGCAGAAAAAAATTTTACTTGCTCTTCCTTTGAGGAGAATGCAAGGACTTGCCTTGAAAATGGAGTGTGGAATCAATCTTAAACATATGTGAAATTTGCTGGTCTTCTGAGATAAGAAAATCACAACTCGGTGTGCTAGAATTCACTTTACTTTTTTGGGAAAAAAAAAGAAAATTTCAATTCAGTCTACAAAATACTTATTTTTTCTTTAAGAGATATACTGAGGGCAAGTGCTTTTCCAGGTTTCTAGAATTAGTGTGGGCAAATATTTAGGAGCCTAGATATCAGCCATAGAGAAGGAGTGGAGAGATAGTGGGATACAACACAGCCACCCTTCTATAAGGTAAAACCTACTGCCAAGAACCCAATATGACAGGAATTAAAAGCTGATCATTTTGGCCCCGTATGGCTGTGTAAAGAGCAGTGGTTCACGGGGCTTTGAATTATTAAAGATGGTAGCAATTCATACTTCTAACACAAGGCCATAAAAATTTAATGAAACAGGGTTAAAGTTTGTGGGTGTGTGACCAACCTATCATCATATGGAATTTCATTTCACTCAATTTTAAATTGCTATGGCACTAATCAAACCCCTCTTACCACTGGGAGCGAAAGAAAGGACTTAACGAAATGGCAAATTCATTTGAGATGAATGGGAACCCCACATGGCTGCCTTTGCAAGTGCCTGTTCTTTCCTGTGGCCATGACTATCTCTTAGCACAAGGTGAAGTAGGACCTATTTCCTCACACTATGACCACAGGTTCCAGTATTAGTTCCAGTACCAAAGAAGCAGCAGTTTGAGGCCCTCCAAGATTTTCATAAAAACTGGTGAAGTTGAAATGCCATCTACTTCTTTCCCTAACTTCCCTCCCCATACCTACCTTCCCCACATGCATGATATCCAAGGTCAAAGGACCTTAATTAGAATCCACTAATAAGCTTCTCATGCAGTCCATGTTCTTTCCTGCATAAGACAGGCAGGCCCCTCGAATGTGGTAAGTACATTTGCCCCAGTAATGAGGCAAATTTTCCTACACATAGCCTAATTTTATACTATACTGACTTAGTATAATTTTTAAGACAAGATAAACCACCTCTTGTAATATTTGGTTTCTCACTGATATTTCGTTTTCCTAAAACTCCTTTTTTTTTAAAATCTATGGATTGACATAAGGCTAAAAGCTTCAACATCTTACAATTTTTCTCAATTAGAAATTTTTCTGATTTTTTCAAATGTTTGCAGTTTCAAACAAGTCAGTAAAAAGAAGGCTCTGTATTTTCATCAGCACATAAATGAATGACTTATTAGCTGTTCTAGGCAAGCAAAAAACTGAATAAATTAGAAACTTAGCTTTAAGCAATACTTTTGAGATTTATAAGACAAATATTTTTTTCCCTTTTTGAATCTGAATTGATACATACAAACTTACATATCGAGTTTTGAATGTAAATTAAATATTAGAAATTCATACTGCTGCCCTTATCCCAACTTTTTTTTTAACCCTTCTCTTCCTTAACTCCTATTCTCTTATACATCTTCCTCCAAATTATTTAAGTACTGACATTACTTAATCTAGTGGGCGCAAGTAATATCTCTCAAAATCAGGCCTACACCATTAAAAAAAAAATGCACTCAACTCTTTTATTCTGGTCTACAGATTAATTTTTTTCCGAAAAAGTTTCTGATTTAAGATTGATTCCAATAGATAATAAATAGAAATTGAAAAAAAAATTAACCTACAGTTTTGATTAATATCCTGTTTTCCCCACAGGGGATAACTTGTAGGGGTGGTGGGGACAAGAAAGAGGAGGGAGTTTGATCCCTGTACATTTAAAGAGGGCCTTGCTGAATAYTCACTGGAATTTCCAGACTTTTTCCCAACCAAATTTTTGAAATGTGCCCACCTAGTTCAGAGTAAAAGCAAAAACTATAGCCTATCCTTCTTAAAAATACTGTGTTTTGCACACAAACATTCATTGCTTTAAGAACATTAAAAAATGACAGCCTGAAGTGCTTAAAATGTGTATGGACATGGTACAATACATGTATATATACATACAGRTATGCGTATGCACAAGCAATGTATATATACACATACAAGCATGTAGTCTCATGAATTTGAACTTGATATCCAACAGTGTACAACTACTGCACATCCAGTATGAAATGTCCTGTTTCATGGATGTAAAAGGAGTCAAAAACCAAACTTCTCAGGGCTTTTAAGCCTGAACACAATCCCCCCCTACTCAACCTTGAATCTCAACCCCTGACTCATTGATGGTAAATGATACCAACCACAGACAGACTGTTTAAAGGCTCACACAAATGTCTTTGGTGTATGTGTCTATTTTTTTAAGGTACAAAATAATAATAATAATTATAATTATAATAATAAAAATAGCTATTTTGTGTGCTGTAGCAGTTCTTTTATAGCTCACATTAAGTGCAGCTCTTAAACCCCACCCCCACCCCCACCCAAAGAAAATACTTGTTAAATAAGGATTAGACAGGTCAAACACCATTGTAGTGCAAATAGTAAACGATAAAAAAAAAAAACAACATTTACAAAATATAGAAATGTTTGGATCCAACAGATGGACAAACATATTCCTTTCAAGTATCTCTCCTTGAAGAAAATAAAAATTAATCAGGTTACTTCCGATACAAAAAAGTCTCTCTTTTTGTTCTCTCTCAGGTAAACAGTTTCAAACCTATTAGGTTGCATAGTTCTAAGATCATAAGCACCTTAACGAAATGTAACTTGGTATTCTTTTTTCCTTGATCTTTCATTCTTCCCATTCTTGTTCTCAATTTTTTTTTAATGTTGGTTTTTTTGTTTTGTTTTGTCTTGTTGCAAAAGTGGTGCAGAAAAAGAAAGTGTGACCACCTGCACACGCCTGTTCTTTTACTGGTATGTGTGTGTATGTGGTGTGTGGAAACGCCTGTGTGGGCATGTCTGGTGACATATGCAGACATAGTGTCACACAGACATGCATGTGACCTGGGTAGCTGGGTGGGACTGGCCCTTCCAAACTCATGGCTTTCTAGACATAATTTGGGTCATGCTAGTCCACGGTTACTGCAGACTAGACAAGGTGACTTGGAGCTCACGGGGAACCGCAAGGGGGGAGAGGACAATACCCGGTTAAACAACTGAGGTCATCAGTTTGATTTCGGAAGAAATGAAGGGTACACCCTTCTCCCTTTCCCTCCCAATTCCTGTCTCCTTCACTGCTTCATCTCTGAGCCCTGGCTAAGGATTTTTTTTTTTTTTCCCACATCCTCCTTCATCTATTTCATCATGTTTTTAGTTTTTGTCTCTTTTTTTTTTGTTCATTTTTTTTTGTTTTTTGTTTTTTTTTTGTTTGCTTTTTAATTTCTATTTTTTCTGGTTGTTAAACTCAGAAACCTTAAATTTTTTTTTTTCTTCATTTTGCCACTGTCTTCTCTGATCAACCCTAGTTCCCTTCCCCCCCCAGGGTGGGTGACTCTAGGAACACCCACACTCCTCCACGATCATGTTCTGAATGTCCTTTTTGATGATGTTTTGCCCATCGTCATAGTACAGCATGGACATGGGTCTCAGCTTGGTGGGCACACAGCACGACTTGAGGTTGGCAAAGGGGCTGTGACCCCGCATGCGGTAGTGGTTGATGACTGTCGAGTGAAAGGACAGTGAGGACCCCGACGTGCCTGCTATGTGGCTCGGGCACTCACCCTCGCAGTAGTTGGCATGATAGCCCGAGGGAGCGATGATCCAGTCGTTCCAGCCAATGTCCTTGAAGCTGACAAAGAACTGTTTCTTACAGCAGATGTTGACCTTGCCGTCACACTCCAGGCCCCGCCGTCGCCGGCGGTGAGGGTGGTCTTCTGACTGCCGAGCCTGCAGCATGAGGAAGGGTCTGTGTGACTGCTCCTTCTCCTCATCTGCTGCTCCTTCACCTCCATCCTTCTTCTTCCCATCCCCGTCCTCTTCTTTCTTCTTCTTCTTGCCCAGGAGCACCAGGCTGGCGCCGCTCTCCTGGCACTGCTCACAGGCAATCCGCACATCCAGGGAGCTCTTGCCCTGGTCCAGCAATCGCTGGATGCTGCTGGAGACAGGAAAGATGTGCCAGGTGCTCTTCCGAGCATCCACCACCTTCTCAGATAGCAACAGTTCACTCCTCTCCCCCTTTAAGCCTACTTCCTCGGCCTCATCCCCCGTGTCCAAGCTGCCCTGTGGGTGCTTCTGCTGCTGAAAGAGGCGGATGGTGACTTTGGTCCTGGTTCTGTTGGCCTTGGGGACTTTCAGGAAGAGCCAGATTTCCGCACGCTCCACCACAGACAGGTCGCTGCCTTCCTTGGAAATCTCAAAGTGCAGAGTCTTCCTGGCTGTGCCTGAAGACAAAATGCAGCACAAGATAGAACAGGAACAGTTGTTAATTCCAGTGTTTGCATCTACTCACTATTTTTCTAGGCAAGCAAGAGTYTTCTGCTATAGACGGTCTAACACAGGGGACAGCAAATTGGACAGCCCATTGGCCAAATCCATTTCAGAGAGGCCCTCAAGATTGGTTTTTATATTCTTACATAGTTGAAGAAAACTCATATTTTGTAACATGGGAAATTCAAACTTTAGTGCCCATAAAGTTCTACAGCAACAGCTACACTCATCTCTAAGTTGCTTAAGGCCACATTTGCACTATAATACAGAATTGAGTAGCTATAAGACTCTGTACCAAAAAGCCTAAAATATTTGCCCTCTGGCCTCTGATGGAAAAAAAAAAAGTTTGCAATCCCTTGGTTTAGAATGAAGAGGGCCTGCTGTCCTGTGTCTATTGCCTCACTGCTTAATCTCAATTTCATCTTCTATGAAATGGGAATGACATAATGATATTTGACCTATTATCTCACAGGCTCAGAAGGACCAAGTAGGAGAACAAAATGAAAACACTCCACACACTCCAGAAAGCAATGGGAATATTCTCACATGAACAGGCCAACACCCTCTCCCCACCCCGAAGTATAGCTCAGTATGGGCAGCACTTTGAGCTGGCCTCCCCTCCCCTGTCACCCCCTGCCCTCATTCCTCTATCACCTCAATCCTGGGGTCTTTCACTACAGCCGGCTTTTCTTTAAAGTGAACTCTGTAGGATCCAGTCAGGCTCTTCCTAGTCCTTTTTCCATTAAGCTACTAAAGGATTCTTCCCCAAAGATGGATCTGATCATACCACCCACTCTTTTGAGTCCTTTCCTGACTTCCTATAGCTCTCAGCATCCAAAGGCAACTCTCCAGGACTTTGAACTCTGTGTCAGCCTTCAACTCCAGCTCTTACCCAGCACCCTGCTCTCAGTGGTCCAGTTTCAAGGTATTTCCTTGAGGGGTGATGAATCCCATGCTATGGCTCACCTGTAGGCAGTGATACCTGCTGTCCCTGCTGCTTAGATACTGCTGCCCCATCCCCAGCTCACTACCCTGAGTGGCTGATCTTAATAATGTTTCAGTTTTCAGATTGGACTACACTTCCTCCAAAAGTTTTCCCTCTCATCTTCTTGGCCACCACCCTCTTGCCAGTCTAGTTTAGGATGCCAGAGGTCTGAGGTCTTATTTGAATATCTCATTCACTGCCATAGTCTAGTGTTTAGAACAGAGTAGGCAATTACTTGATCCCTACTTAACAAATGGAGGCATTCTTAGCATTGAGTTCTATTAAAGTAAGAGCCACCTTCTACCTATGAATCCTTCACTTTGCCTCTGCCCCTTTATAATGTACTAAATGAGCCCCCAAAACATATTTCAAATGGGAACGGCTGCTAACACAGGGGAAATCCTTGCATTGTCAGAATAGTGGCTTCAGCAACCATTCATTTCTAGCCTCATTCTAAAATTAGAAAGTCATCCAGTTCCTTTTTTTTTTCATATGCACCTGTATGTTTATTATGCAGCACCATTTACTCCAAGAAGCAGGTGTTCTGACTAGAATCCTTTGATTAATCAAATATTTTCCCTGGCTTCCCTGTTTACCACTYGGTGGTGTATAGAAACAGGTCCTCTTTACCTGAGCACCGGGCCTATTTACAACTGTCCACTGTACATGGATCCCAGGTACAAATCTGGGAGCAATCTTCAAGAAGTTCATCTTAGAAGTCACAACTCCCTAGGAGGATCTCCCTGCCTAGATTTCTATAGCTAACGGAAATCCAGCCGTACTTATCACTCGAGGCCCTGAGATGTTTACGGTACTATAAATTTCAGGCACAGTTTCAAGTTCTCTGCGGCAGAAGGCAGGCTTTTCTGTGCACTGCGCACTGTCGATTCTGTTCTTAATTTAACACGCTCTGCACACTGTGATTATGATAGTGGTAAATTCACTGAGGCAAGGGCCAAGAAGGGCTGCATATGGATATGAAGGGTTCTCTGGCATCTTTGTACAAACTTGCCACGATGATGATGGTGGTGGCACGGGAGTTCCTCTGACTCCAACCTCATGTATCTGGCAGGAGTTGAAATGAATAATAAAGCAGGGTTTGTGATTAGAGAGAACACCAGAGCAGGGAGCAGTTAGAGGGGGAAGCTGTCTTATTTTAGAAAACATGATGACTTTTTTTTTTTAAATGTGAATCCTATATTACCCTTTGCTAAGAATTGATGGTGTTTTTGTTGTTGTTTTCAAGAAAGCAAACAATTAAGGAAGATCATTTAATCTAAAATGGCAATCAGAAGCTGATTCCAATGGAGACCAGAGAGAGAGGTTGACAGAAATGTTCCCAGCCTCTGCTACTGGCCCAGAAGAACCTGCAGGTTCCTGCTCCTATGTGTGGGCACCTCAGCCCTACTTGGTGGAGAATATTGACAAGCTGCATGCTGCTTCCCCTTCTGCCTCTGTGCAGGACAGCTTCTGACATCCTAAGCTGGACAGAGTGTCACTCAATAGACAGAGAGACAGTAGCTGCTAAAAGAAGCCAGAGGACATAAGTTTGTATATTGTTTTGCTAGGAAAGCAAACCTGACTAATGCCCTGGATGGGAAGGATCATTGGATTTCAGGTAACAGGTAACACATCCCCTCCACCCCAGGCTCTGCTCTGCCCTCATACATGCTTGACCTGGGGGAAGTGGGGAAGGGTGAAGGTGGCTGGATGGCCATGATAATCCTCATGTTGAACTTTCCATGAATAAAATCCAGAACCAGGCACAGAGGCTTGGGGGTGGGGGGACGTGGGAGGGTTAATTGGTCAACCCAAACAAGTGACAGCCACATGCAAACTGCTTTTGTGGGTCTGGGGAGGGCAAGGCCACGTGATGCCCATCACACAGCCCTGCAGGACTGCCCCTCGTTTCACAAGAGCAGGTTTCTAATGCACGATCTAGCCCCACCCCTTCTTCACAGGCAGCTGTACTTGGAAGCAAATGATTTAGTGTTCCTGAGAGAGGATTGTACAAAGAGAGTACTCATTAGAGGGGGCTCAATCTGTCAGGTGCTGTTATATTAGGATCAGAGAGTCATCATAAAATGACTTTCGCACTGGTCTTGGCTGATAATTAACTGTATGGCATCGCCTGTGTGTTGTGGGGAAGCACGGGTGCTGATTTATGCATCAGTTTAATTATCTGAACTGAAAGACTGTTCCCTGTAGCTGCATCCACTGCCTGCCTGCTTTCTCTCTCCCCCATATTTCTGACATTTGGATTTTCCCCCTACTAATTGACATGCCTGTCGCCTCCTTCTCCTGGTGTCCATTTCTGGAACTGCTATTTGTATATTGCATGATATTTTATCAGAGAAAAAAATAAAACTGAGATCCAATTTCATGAAAATGCTGTTGCCATAATGCTCAGGAGGACAGGGGGAAGAGAGAGAGTCAAGTCTTCCTAATGTCTACCTCATATGCAGGTACATTTTACAGGTTCTATTGTATTCTGACTGATTAAGCAGTGCATATTTTTTTTCTTTTACATTAGCTTTCATTGCAGAAGGGGGTGGGGAGAATGAGCTGGCTAGAAGCTGACATGGAATTACTGTTTATCAGGGCTGTTGGTTTCAGAAATCTATGACAACCCTTAGATTTCTTAGGGATGAAAAAATACAATAAACAGTCAATTTGTTATATTCCCTCTATGTCTATATTATCTGAGGGAGATTGCTGTACTGCAGTGTCGCTCTCAGGATGCCCCCAACCTGCAAATCTCTACGCATAACAATTTGAAAAATGGAAGAAGGTTGCCTAAGGCTGGGATGTTTAGGATCAATTTCTAATCAGTTTCAGGTTTGACTTAAATATCTGGTGCTGGAAAATCCTGAAATGAAAGCCTCCCATAATGCTTCTTGAGCAGGTACGACATGAGTTTGTACAGGTGTGCCCTGAGTTCCTACACTGTTTTCTAGCTATCCAGATATAGCTAGTTGCTTTGCTAACCTTTCATTACCTACTCTCTGATAATATTCTTTTCATCTTCTGTGCTATTTTTTTTCCCTCCCAAAGCTGGTGAGCAAGGTTTGTATCACAGCCTGCTCTGCCTGAGTAATTCACTAAGAAAGTCCCACGCAAACCCATGTGGGTGATAATATCTCATTACTTAAACCCCTGTGAGCTTGGTGGACACATCCCAAAGGGAGAGAAAAATGGTTCAGAAAACTGGGTAGGGATCAATTTTGCACCTTACAGAGAATATCTTTGAAATGTTGCCTGGTGGGAGGGCTGGATGGAGGAAAGACTGCGTAAGCTGGAAGGAAAGGTGTTTGTAACACATTCTCCTTTGCTTTCAGAATTTTTCAATACTCAATCATGAAGGCATGCCAAGGGTTAAGCTGGTGAGCCCCCTTGTTGTTCCCTTCCCCCACCTTAGAATGCAAAAGGCTGCTCATCCAAAAGTCCAGCATCTCAGATTTGTGGGTGTCTGAACACTTCCAAYTAAATAAGCAATACACACATGCAGTGTTTCGGTTTTGTTTTGTTTTGTTTTGCTCACCAGGGTCCTGCGTAAAGTATGCTGCCCTTTTATATATGGGTAATAATTATGTCTCTAATGTTAATGTGGAAAGCCTTGCTGTTTATAGAGCTTATTTAACTCACCATGGGGGGAGGAAAGCCTTGCTGTAAAAAGCGTCTGTTACTTTAATTTTCCATTCTTCATCAAGGTTTCCCTGTGCCTAGATATGGCATAGTCAATGGCAGAGCATAGAGAGCTGCCATTTACAGCGTGTGTGTTCTCTAAGCACTAACTTTGCATCTGGACTGCTTCCAGGAGTTTCTGCAAAAGGCAGCAAGCAGGGTATTTAAGGGTTATTCCTCCTTTGACCTACAGTAGAGGATCCTGCCTGTAGAAGAACTATGGGTTTGGTTGTAAGTTATCTTGACTGACTGCTTTTACTTTTTAGTCTCAATTTCTCTCCTTGGAATCCGCACTATTGTAAATGTTCAGTTGTAAGTGTTCAGCCACAAACATTCATCGCGTATGACTCTTCCACTTAAGTGGTAATGAATAAGAAGGTTAAATATTGGGGGATATTGATGAGGGGGTCTTAGCTTCCTAAAAAAAAAAAATTCTCAAGGGTCAACCTACTGTATTTTATAGATTTCTAAAGTTCCTGAGAACTTTTACACTTTTGGTTTTGAACCCAAGAACCAATCAAGTATGAAGAATTCTGTACTACATACAGCTAAAGAGATCATGCTGAAGTATTTTTTAGCAGAAGAAGGGGCCAAGATAAATAAGTATTTTCAAGGAAAGTGCCTGGGAAGGCATTACTCCAATTCTTCAAATGTAAAAACTGAATTTCTACCCTGACATCTCCCCCACCCCCATTCCTGCTCACCTACTGCACAGGCCGAAAACCACTATTAATCTCTTCCACATCTTCCCCCCCTCCATTCCTCTCCACACCCCCAGTTCGCATCCTCAGCAGCTGAACACCATGTTCCTACCAGGCGTTAAATAAATAGCCTTTTTCCTCCCTTTTCGAAGTCACTTGTCATTTGTCGCTGGTGAGAAGTGTTGATAAGTCAGGCAAACCAGGCAACAGAATCAGGGGAGATGGAAGATGTTTTTGTAAAACTCAGACGACCGTATTAGGGAGAGACTCGTGAGCAAATCAGTATCGTTGATGATTCATGGTCACATTTCTCCATGCTCTGCTTTGTTTGCTTTTGAAATTTATCACTCGTCTGCCTTCCATAGAGCTCCGGAATGTTCACATGTATCACTAGCATTCCCATTTCCTCGCCTTCTGTCTCTTTTAATGTATTACAGGTAGTCGTGTTTCTCCCATCCYATAAAATCCTAACTTTTTCAGCAGGATGAGAAGGGACAGGAAGTAATTGATAATCACCAAGATTAGGGTGCTACAGACTGGGGCTTCCAGTAGGCGCGACTGCCTTTCCCAGATGAACAGATGAAGACCAAAAGTCTTTGGAATGCGCCCTCTTGTGGCCAATCTTTCCCCATTATTCCGAGAAGAAAGTGTGTAACCCCTAAAAGTTCAGAGGTTCAAGAGGAGGAGTGATTCACAGGACAGCTCAGAAGACAGGTGGGGAATGGAAGGGTGGGAGTCAACTCCACTTTGAGATGCCTTTCCTGGGGTGGTGGTAGGGAAAATAGTCACCAAGGAAGCCTGGGAAGACACCTGTTTGAGCAGTGTACACTTCTAATTCAAATGTACTGTAAGTGGCATCCTCCAAGAGGCGAGGTTTATGTGCTGCTTTCAACAATGCCTAGGCTAGGGGAGCATTATCCATTTCTTGGTGTATCCTTTGTCTTTCCCCATCTTTCTGAAATAAGCGCTCTCAATTGCTAAGTTAACCATGAGAATCAGCATCTAGATTTGGCAGCCTGTGGAAACCCAACGGTATATTGTTATTGTATGTTGACTGACAGGCTACTGTCATGAATCAAGAGAAAGCAAAATGAGATATACCAAGCAAAAAGGCCTCTGCTTTAGTTTCATTGAAAAAGTGGTAGTTGGCTTCATTTTACTCATCCCTACTGCCTTCCCTTCGAAGCCAGGACTTATATAAACATTGAGGATATGGGGCCAGCCCTGCAAAGAACACACTAGTTTTGGGGAGCAATCCTGAGTGATAGCCAATAACTCACATCATTTTTGAAAAGCTGAGCACAATGGAACAAATTCAGTTAAAAGAGTTCAAGGCACCTTCAGCTTTGTGATCTCTCCACTGCAGTGGTCAAGCCTTGGCTTTATTAAACAATCGGGGGGGGGGGCAAAATTAAACATGCCTCCCAAGACTAAGGAATATTGAGGTTGAAAGACACATCTATGGCATGCTCATGGGTGACACTTATGTCTGAATTTTATTCTGTCCAAATAGTTATAAAGAAAAGTAAAGTGCATGCCCTCTTTATTCTCTAAGAACCAGTACGTTCCACATAGTTGGAATGTCATTAAAGTTGTATTATTYCAAAAGCAACAAGACATAGATCTTTGCCCATCATTTTTATATATTCACTACAAGTATTCAAATGACAAATGTGTTTCCTGGGTAGGCAAAATCRGCAACAAAATGCTTGCATGGTACGGTTTAGAGAATAGCAATATAAATTGCTATATTTCATATAGCAATCATAAAATCTGTGAAATTATATTAAATCAACTTGAAGTTGATGTCTATAACTTCTCAGAAGAGAAAAGTAAGCAATTGTACTAAGCCCTCCTGTAAGAATCCAAAGTCAAGATGTAAACTCAACCAGGAGAAGTTTCCCATTACAAACCTTAAACTTTAGTCAACATAAACTGCCTTTTTAAAAAGTAACTCATTTTTCTCCCAAACTAAATCCCAAACAGAGAAGTAAAAAATGACAAGATCCTATATAACTGAGAGATCGATTAGCACTGAGTCGAGGGCCATAAGTAAGAAGGAATGTAAATGGTACAATTCTTTCGCTGCCAAATCTCTAAATGCCAAGAGAGTGCTTTTCTGTACAAGTCCAGTAAGTCAGAAGGAGAGACATATTGCTAGCATGTACAGTTAAAAGTGATCAGAAGCATAGGTATACTTAGCCTATGTGATTAGAGCCAAGTGAGTAGAAGCTGCACCCAAGGCCGTTAGAGGTGGAGGTTAGCATATAAAAACACAACCTGGGCCCCTTCATACACAGCAAACCTCTAGACCACTGGAATTCATTCTACTGGCACAGCCCAATGTCACAGTATTTCCTTTCCTTCATATCCACAAGAAAAGCTTGAGGAAAATCAGGTGGTAACTTGAAAACTCCAACCTGACTTTTTTCTCAATAAGTTTCAGAAGATAAAGTCACAATGCTTTTTTTTGGGGGGGGCTGCATCCAAAAAGAACTCTCAGGAAGTAAGTTGGATCTTTCTTAAACCACAGAGGCTTCAGGGGAGAGATCTAACCTGCCCAGGAAGCTTAGGGCCACTGAGGCTTCTTCCACAGGGGGAAACCATGAAACCTGCAGGCTATCCTTTCCCCCAAAAGGATGCTGTGGTCTCCTATGGCTTTCTTGAAAATAGAACATCTGAGTCAACAGGTTTTCAGGATTGGAAATTCTGAGTGTTGCCTTAATTGTTTATACTGCTGCGGCAAACTTTTAAACAAAATGCTGGGAGTCCCTGCACATACTTTACTGGCCATATGCTCTACCAAACAAAACAATGGCATTCCTTTCAAACAGATTTGGCAAGCGATCTGATTCTTTAGCCTGGCATTACCATGAAAGCAACATGGTATTAACACATCTGTGTGCCCAGCGTGCATGGGCTTGTAGGCATGCAAAAAGATCTGTGTCCTGTAACTATAAAAATAGCCTGGCTCCAAGTCCACCACCCATAGTTTTGACAGGTATTTTCTATTCAGCAACAGGTTACTGTGGTCGTGAGCCAACAATTAGAATCTATTTATTAAAGTTCTTCCTCTTAAGGATAGAGTGAGAGTTCACTGTAGTATCTGAGAGCACTTTGTCAAGGTTGCATTCCTTGGCAGAGAGTTCCTGGTAACTTTACAAAGAACAAAACTGGGTTTTTTGGGATTTTGTTTTGGCTTTTTTTTTTTTTTTTTTTGTACAGAGAGCAAAAGTCAGTGCTCCAAAAGTGACTGCTGGTTCATTGTCAACTGTCCACTAAAGTAGCTTTTTACTGCCTAGTATGTGCTGTGCACTTGCAGACAGTTTCTAAAGGTAAAAATGACTGTCACTACTATGTATGTCCTGTGTCTCTCATGTGGCCCCAGATTGGACTTTCAAAGGAAAGGTTTGTTTTAGGTAATGACTTTATGCCAATCTACTCTGATCCCCTGCACTCTTGCATCCCACCCCCAATAAAAACTTTGGATGAGGACCTGAAGACAACTGTTTCCTCTAGCACCCGAAAATGCCCAGCTTTCATCTGACTGCTCAGATCTGGTTTCATAGGCAGGGCGAGGGAGCCCCTCTCAGATTGGCTTCTAGCTCCAGATTGGCCCATGAGCTTCCTCCCTGTGTGACCGGCTGAGTTTAGCAAGTGTAAGCTAGTCATCTCCAGGCAGAGCTCACCCGATAATTCCATTTCTGTGGAGTCCTCTCCCACTCCTCCCTGTCTGCTACCTAACAACTAATAACCTTCCCAGGCAGTTTCCAGCGGGAGAGAAAAGAAGTTCCTCCTAGGACTGCAAAAGAAATATATTTTACTGCCCCCGCCCTCACTCCCCCACCCCCACCCCCCGCAAATGCCAGCACCAACCTGATTCCGCAAACGTGATGATCTCCGAAGTCTGCTCCATAAGTTCATTCATTTCTGCCCTCCTTCCAATGTCATCCTCAATCTCCACATACCCGTTCTCCCCCACTTTGCCCACATGAAGCTTTCTGATCGCGTTCAGAAGCGCCGCCTTGGGCACCGGCTGGGTGACATCGGGTCTCTTCTTCAAATGCAGCATGTTTAAAATGTGCTTCTTTACGGCCTCCACCATCTCTGGCTGAGAGTTGGGTACATCCTTTGGGAGGGTGGCCAGCGCACAGGACGGACAGTCGGGGGCTGCGCTGTGCCCCTCGGATCCTGGGGTGGGGGAACTCCTCACTATAATCCAGCAACTTGCCCACAGAAATCCTCTCAGCCAAAGCAAGGGCATCCTGGCAGGAAAAGTTGTTGTGATTGCCTTTTTTTAAAAAGGCCCTGCTTTTCCTCCCCCCTCACGCACAGGTTTTTTTGGATTTTTTTTTTTCCTTCTCCTCTTCAGCAAATTCTCTGGAACAAGAGCAAAAAGTTTTCTGTGAAGTTTTGTTTGCAGGTTCCCTCTCTGAATGCAGTCAGTGCTGTAGGTTTGTGGCTGTCAGGGAGGAGAGTTCTGACTGTCTCCGAGTAAAAGAGAAGGAAGGAGGGAGGGAGGGAGAGAGGGAGGGAGGGAGAGAGGGAGGGAGGGAGAGACAGGGTGGGGGGGAGACAGAGACAGAGAGAGGATGGGAGGGAGAGAGAC